CACTAATAAAGCCACTGAACCAGACCAAATCCATGTTTTAATCCTACAGTCCTGCGCCCCTGTCCTTGCCCCCATCCTTCAATCCATTTTCACTCAATCACTCGCTTCAAGCATCCTACCTGTAGACTGGCTTTGTGCAGACATCACCCCTTTTTCAAGACAGAAGACCGAACAGACCTGACGAACGACGAACGACATTTCTAGACTCCTGGACAGACGTGACGTGAAACAGGTCGACGGCATATTAGATTTCGCCATAGCCTTTCACAAAGTCATCTACAAAAGATTGACTCAAAAACTACAGTATTATGGAATCGTTGAACCAACTCTTCACTGGATCACAGCTTTCCTTTCCAACAGAACCCAACGTGTTCTCAACGGCACTGTCTCTAAGTCTGCCCCTGTCTCTTCAGGTGTCCCCCAAGGCACCGTCTTAGGTCCACTCCTTTTCTTACACTATATAGATAATCTCCCATTATCCACCCACAGTTTTGAGTTTTGCTGACGACCGCCTCATCTATCGACCGATCAAGACACCCGACGACTGCAATCTCCTCCAAGACTGACCTTGACTCCCTCGAGCATTGGGAAGCCACAAGGCAAATGGACGTCCGACCTGATGAATGCAAAGCCATAAACTTCCCCGCTAGCAATCACCCATTAAATTTCCTTATACAATCCAGCCACATCAACTGCCCAACACACAAATACCTCGGCATCACACTATACGCTAACATGAAATTTAATACACACATAGACAACATATAACATAAAGCTAACAGAACACTGGGTTTGTGGAGGAAGAACTTACAAGGTTGTACCCAAGGTGCTAAACACATAGCTCATAACACCCTTGTCCGTCCAACACTGGAGTATTGTGCACCAGTGTGGGACCCACACACACAAACATCAACAAATTAGAAAAAATAATACCGCAGCAGCCACGTTCATTTCAAACAACTACATTAAAACTCCTGGCATCACAACACGAATAAAACAACAATTACACATGGACGCCTTCTCAATGCGCAGACAAGCACACAGACTAACAATTATGTACAAAATCACAAACAACCAAATCGACATAACCAAGCAAGAATACTTACACCACGTAAATACACCTAACACACGAAGCGCCCACAACCAGAAATACTTAATATATCACACCAGTACACTTCTTCAAACACTCACACGAGTTCTTAACCCGCACCACTCGTGACTGGAACCAACTCACACAACACATTATACACGCAGACAAAACTGACATTTTCCAAAAAATCACACGCATCTCAGAACCCAAACACAAAACACTAAGATTTAGCTTCCTTTACCCCCCCCCCCCCCTAACAACCAACTATCCCATAAGCGTGATATGCGCTAACATTTAGCACCCTACGCTCCAAACCATTGAGAGATTGAGGTAATATTAATACATATGGAGATTACTACGTGTTACATTCGTTACTATAATTATACAATTTCTTCAATATTGAACTAGACCTAATTGATATCAAGACAAAAATCAAAGCCATTTTCTATTTTTCCGAGATTATCTTTTTTCTTTACGTTAGAGACAACATTTTTCCTAATTATATTGATCATGCTGGTGCTTCTACAATCACGATTTCTTTAATCAGGTAATGAGTGGCTTATGAGAGCTACGAATAGTGGCATTTACAGAGTAAATCCCAAGATAAACTAGCAACTGATTGGAGGAGCTTTGCCCGACGAATTCCGGGAGTCGATCCCGTGACAATCTCCCTCCTAAGATTAACTGGTCTCTGCCTTTGAACTTACTTTGGGTGGCAGTGTTTATGTTAGGTATTAGGCAAGTCCACTGTTTATGATATCATTCCTTTATTTTAATAACAAGAACATTAACATTAATTTTATCAATATTATTACTATCATCATTACCATCCTTATTCTTATTATCATTATTATTATCATTATCATTATTATAATTATTGCTATCATCCTTATCATTGTTATTGACTGTCATCTTTATCATCATTGTCACTGTTATTATTATCGGAATTGTTATCACTATTATTAATATCTCTATTATTATCATCATCTTTCATTGTGATTATAGTTGCTATTATTATAACCATCATTCTTATGGTCTTTATCATGTTATGCATATGAATTATTATTACTATTATCTTCATTCTTGAATGATTACTAATGTACCATATCAATTTTACCTTTATCATCATTATCGGCACTACTGTCATTACCATCAACATCATCATCGTCACTGCCATTATCTCAACTGTCATTAGGAATGCAACCTTTACCGCCATGATGTAAAAACTAGTAATAGATGGACACAATATATACACTGTACAATAGCAGTAGAATGTATTTATTTCCTAAGTCACTGCTCTATTTGTCGACAGGAAGAGGGTTTTCTTTCATTACTTTATTTGTGAATGGGATACTTGTCTATTTTATTAGTTGAGCTTTTCCAAACCAAGTTCGTTATGTTCATAATAATACATTTAAGAAATTGTGCTGCTATCATTATACTAGATACGGTCCACACTGAAGATCTAATACTTTAAATTTAGGTTATCAGTTCATCGGGTTATACTATGAATAGTCCTTGGCCAACGGAAACGAAGAGGATAAGCAAAATGCGCCCTTACGATGTGTGTGTTTAAGTGTGTATGACTCTATATAAACATGTACATACGCACACATATATATATGTGTGTACGTGTCACATAAATATTGCTCCATAGAATACTTGCGTCATGTTTTCTACGTCGGTCACGTCTTTTGATAACATTATGCTACTGTTTCTGTATGTATATGTTCTGTTGTTTTTAGCAACATGAATTGAAATTATTGATGATATTGATGGGGATCATCATTTTAAAACCAGGGAGATATGTAACCCAGCTTCAGCTTTACTCGTTAATGAAGGAGTTAGGACATCTTGGTTCTCTACCTTGCGCTCTAAGCTCGCCGTCTGCCGTACTCTTGTAAGGCCGATCATGCGGGCTCCTACAATGTTTGTTTATTCATTTATTTATCTATTCACTATATATATACATACATACATACATACATACATATATATATATTACATATATGTAATATATATGTATATATATATATATATATATATATATATATATATATATATATATACATATACACACATACACACACACACACACACACACACACACACACACACACACACACACACACACACACACACCACACACACACAACACACACACACAGACACCACACACACACACATGTATACATACATATATATATACATATATATATGTATATATATATATATATATATATATATATATATGTATGTATGTATGTATGTATAAATATATACAGAATCGGTTTTGTTTGAAATTTTCAATCCGTGTCAAAATGGGACGACAGTTTCCTTGTGATGTGCAATTTTCGCTTACGGGGGTCAACGTAGCACGAAAGTTATGACAAGTTTGTTTACGTAAGAAGTGCTGTTTCAGATCAGAGCAGCATTGCCACTGCGTTGCCGGTCATTGAGGATGAGCGTTTACTCAACTGATTGTCTTCCGTTTTCTTTCAGCACTGAACGATGGAATTAATCTAACTGTTTCGTCGGAAAATCTATGGATCATACCCCCTGTCAAATTTCATATCTACGCCACTGTATATATATATACACCATATATAAATGCACACACAAACGCACACATATGTGTGTGTGTGCATATATATATATGTATATATATATATATATATATATATATATATATATAATATATATTATATATATATATATACATATACATACACACACACACAGATGGAATATGCTATATGGATTAGAGAACATACTAAAGTGGATGATAGAAAGAAGAAATGGCAATGAAGACGTTATATAGGTTATATATATGTGTGTGTGTGTTGGACTATAAATAACACAAAGAGGCCAAGAGCCAGACCAGTGACACGATGGCGCGACGAAATAGCGAAATTTGGGGGCCAAGACTGGAAACAAACATCACAAGACAGGAATACCTGGAAAAGAATGGGAGAGGCCTACGTCCTGCAGTGTGTGTGTGTGTGTGTGTGTTGTGTGTGTGTGTGTGTGTGTGTGTGTGTATATATATATATATATATATATATATATATATATATATATATAACACTCACGCATGCGCATATGTATACATAGATACATACATACATATATATACATATACATATTATATATATATATATATATATATATATATATATATATATATTACATGTGTGTGTGTGTGTGTGTGTGTGTGTGTGTGTGTGTGTGTGTGTGTCTGTGTGTGTACGCGTGTATAACGGAAGTGAGGGAAAGAGAGTGATGACTGATTGATAATGAGCGGCAGTAAAACAAGTAAACAAAGGCCCGTCAGCCGAATACGCGAAAATAGGATAAACAAATACATTCAGTGTGTGTGTGTGTGTGTGTGTGTGTGTGTGTGTGTGTGTATATATAATATATATATATATATATATATATAATACATATATACACACACACACACACACACACACACACACACACACACACACACACACACACACACACACACACACACACACACACACACACACACACACACACTCACTCACATAGAGTGTTTATAGTTATCACATGATCATTTATTCTCATTCCCACTACTTTGAGTCATCATGCCAAGCGGATTAGCTTCAGGGGGCGTCTCTCGCTCGCCGCTTCCCTGCGATGTCTTGCCCTGTCACGTGAAGCGACACAGTCATTTGCCTTGCCGTGTTCACGGTGTTCGTTTGTATTCTTTCATGTTTGTTATCAATTGTGGCTTTTAGTGATTTAAATCTAGTTTTTTATTATTTTTTTCTTATTTTGCACAGTATTATTGAGGTCGATGTCCTTTACTATTTGATTGGTAATTCGTTTATGTCATCATAAAAAGTGTAAGACTAGATTATTTCTTATCAGAGTATTTTTTTAGTGATATACGTAACAAATACAAAGTAAACGAAAAAGAAAAAAAGAAACTTAATTCGACATTATCAAATTGGAAAATCGCCTTACCCATGGAAAATTCCCCCTCCGTGAGTCGTCGAGCCGTTTGACGAATCGGACGAGTTGGTGTAAAGTGACAACAAACCCATCTCGGTGAGCGACCAGAGGCTGGCTCTTTTCTCGCATTTTTTGTGGCTTTTCTATCAATAGGTGAGATACCTGGTTTGTTCGAGCGAATTGAGGTACGTAAGGGATTCGTGGAGGTTTAGTTGATATGGGTGATATGCAGGAGAAGTGCTGAAATAAATATAGACGTCTTAATCAGGGTGTGACATAGTTCGCTGAGAAAAGTTGACATTCTGTTACAGGTAATTAAACACAATAGATGAATATGATTTGCATACACTTGGATTTTTATTCCGAGGTGTAACTTGAGTATATCCTTTATGTTTAAGAAAAGCCTATGAATTAATGTGCCTTTCATATTACAGAAATTGCACGTATTTTCAGGATTTGGTTAAATTTGATATTGCTGTGTCAACATAGCAGTATATCATTTTAAGTCATCTTTTAGTTTCACACTGCCACCTTGCAAGTATTATTTCTTATTTCAATTCATGGGATAATGTGACTTGTTTTTGTTTATCAATACAAATGAATAAAATGACAGTATTAGTAATTGTTTCGGTAAATTTGGAAAAAGACGTCACCAACGCTTTTCGGGACGACACTAGATTCGTTTGATTTCTATTGTTTTGGTTCGGTTGATTCTGGTGTTTGTTTCCATTGGAAATGGTTAGATTGTCTTTTCCATACCAGAGTTGTGCCACTCTTGATGTAAT